AAAGGCTGCTGTGAGGTCCAGCAGCCACCAGCACAGGCAGATTCTCCCCAGCACCACAGACAAGGCAATTCAATTGTGCACCTTTAAAGTGCGACTCGTGCTCATGTCGGACTAAAACCAGACCCTGAAATTTACTCCAAGAAATATGAAATGTGACTCTCCAAAAGATGTCGTAAATTGAAAACAAAACAACTTTTTCTAAACCTTAGACGAAGAAAAGCAAGGGAAACAGGTCTAAATACTTGGAGAGCAACAAGAGGGGCAAGAGCGGTTTTTAGGAAGGGGGCCTCAACCACTAGCGTGTTTGAAGCAGCAGGACCGACCCTGAGCTAGACAAGGGTTTATAAAAACAAGCGACTGACCCAACAAAACTCAAACCTTCCCTTCCAAAACCTGGGCTGGAATAATATCCCTAAGGACGAGTCGGGCTGTTCATGCGCCACTAACCACCTTAGTAAGAAAGAAAACAAAGAAATGTCTCAACGCTCGAAGATACAGTCTGTGCGGAGGAGCACCAGACATCATCCAGGAGACAAATCATATGACAGTAGTCTGCCTGACAGGATGCCACTTTATCAGTGAAAAAAGACCACTCTTCGCAGGTGCAGTGGAGGCATCAGACAGGAAGTAGGGCATTGCGATTAAGAAGAGACAATAGTATTAAATAGCCAGTGGTATATTATTATAATTTAAGCTATACCCACAGTATATAAAGCGCTGACATTAGCTTGATACATCAACATAATACACACATTTCAGTACAATTTTATACGGAGTTTTCACAAGACGCGTGGAAATGCCCTGAACAACTCTTTCACTGTACAGTAAACCAAAATCCCTGTCCACACACAAACTGTCGCTCACCCAATTAATTCCTCCATTTTCAAGGGAAAGCCAAATATTGTTCAATAAGCCTTCATACGTCCGCGTCCGAAGCCTGAAGCTTGAGACCTGCATACACGAACAACTAACGCAGGCCAACAACAAAATCTGCTATCACGTCCCAACACCATTTCTGACCCCTTTAGCATCTACACCATCCATGTCTAGACCACCATATTAAGAAACATTAACATTTAAACACAAGCAAAACAGCTCTTCAGCTATTTTGTGAAAATTCTTCTTTATCCAATCCCCAATGGACTGACTTGTAACCTCACAATTATGAAATATGTAAGTAATAACATGTCAGTCCCAGTCCAGGATTTAATGATATCCATCTATACTGTTTTGAGTGTTAGCGGTTATTAGTTATGTAACGTTTCCTAGTACTCACATTTATCTCTCCACCTATTTATGTATAACGTTCATGACCTATACAATAAGAATATGAAATTGATAACAAACCGTGTAAGTTATTGTAATAATAGGATTAAACATGTAACAATAACCTGAAAAAGTACAACCCTTTAATAGTTAATTATTTTGGTAAATGCGCTTTTTGCTTCTCTTAAGAGAACAACATTAAAATATCGACACCCATCTCATGATCCGATGTTTGTTTTACCTAGCCTAGCATAAAGACAGAAGCTAGGCGAAACAATCTGACCTGCTCCTCTATAAATAGTAAAAAAGTACCTCTAAAGCTCCACGAATTACACATTACATCCATAAACAAAACATTCTTGTAAAAATAACCCATATCAGAAGCGTGTGGTTGCCTTTAAATTTGAAGCGACCATTTTTGTGGTGCAACAATAATATTTAGAAGCCGTTGAACAAAATAACACAATCTGAAATTAAAATCCGATATAACTCATTCCAGTTCCACTCAGCTATAGTGTTTTCACCGCTTAACAAACTGCTCCATAAGTTCCTCATTAGCGCCATTTAAAGGACCAGCTGTGCAACGGATTTAAGCTGCATTCTAGTGGCGAAGTTGCAGATTGCTATACTAACTGAAACAAGCTTCGCGTCGTATTTGACGAGCTGGAATGAAAACGGGCTGCATATTGCAGGGGATTAAACAACAAATGAAAACCATACTAATGAATATTATATTAGATCCTCTTAAATGTTCAAAACACTGAGGCATCTTCTTGGAACAATGTGTCAATCAGAAAATAACGCTAAGTTCCGAAATCGTGGTTAATATTATCAAATCTCTCGAAACTATTTCATGGCTTTCTTTTTTACGACGCATCTATAATGTTTCTTTTGCCATTAAACTTCTTACAATATGTTCTTTCTTCTTCAAGACGCCCCCTGTACCAAATTTATCCCCACTCCACCTCCGCTACTAGTTAAAGTTTCCACACTCCCTCTGTGGCAGACGATGATTGGACTCGGAGTTAATCGCCGGTGAGATTGCCACCAGTCCATTTAAACCTGTGTGTGGGCGTGTTGTGTGTGTGTGTTTGGTGTCGTGTGTGTCGAGAGAGAGAGAGAGAGAGAGAGAGAGAGAGAGAGAAAAGAAGAACAAGAGACAACGGAGAGAATCAAAGAGAAAGGGAGAAGAGGTGAACAAGCCCAGACATCTCACTTCTTCTCATCCAGACCACGAGGAGTTTGTTTTGATCACATCAGACAACCTTGTTTCCTTTTCAACCCTGTTTTTTTGTTCTCAGAAAAACTCTGAACTGTGATGTTTGGTTTGGCGGCGAGCGAGTGAGATCGAGTTTAAAAGACCAAAAAAAACAAACAAAAGAAATCTTTCATTTTCTTTTGTTTCATTTTGAAGCAGGTTTTTTTCATCCATCCATCCATCCAGCTCTGGAGAACAGTTCATTCACCAGAAGATCCCAAAGCGCTCTGGCTTGACGAATTTATACAAGAACAAACAAACATATCAGAAAAGTGCAATCAGCGTCTGCAAACAGAGACGAAGTCAAAGTCAAAGTACATCACAATGCAAACCAAAGATCTTTGTATCAAAGACAAAGAGGGGGAATCACACAGTGCTGCAACAGAGTGGATTTACTGACCGGCAAAAGTAATTTAATTCAGTGTTGATGTAAAATAACAATACCACAGTGTAGAAATACTCTGTTACAAGGCAGATTTATTTATATATATCACATTTCATAGCCAAGGCAATCCAGAGTGCCTTATAGAGTTCACGAGCTAAAGCACAAACAACAATAAAAGCCTAAAAACAATCACATTTAACAGGCAATTAAGAAAAAAACAAACAAATAAAAACCAATAAATTTGATTGTAACAAAACGATTAATTAAAAAGAATGGTTAACAGGTAGATCTTTAGTTTGTATGTATGTATATGTATCCAAAATCATTCGTATCAAAATACACTTAAAGTACAAAAAGTACTCTTTATACAGAGTGGGCCATTTCAGATGAATGTGTATTATGTTATTGAATAATAATTATTGATGCATTAGTATATACGTCACTTTAATGTAGCAGCTGGTAAAGAAGAGGCTTATTTCTTACTATATACGGTATATTTCTGTATGTCCATAACAATACATCCTAATGTATTTGTTGGGTATATTTGGTATCAATAATCTGAATCTGTAAAGTAACTAAAGGCATCAAATGAATGAAAAAAAGTACAATATGTCCCTCTGAGATGAGTATAAAGTATAAAGAAGCAGCTCAAAATTGTACTTGAGTAAATTTAGTTTGGAAAGTGTAACAAAACTCAAATTATTTTGATCACACATGTGTTTATTTGTAGAACAATCCTATTAAAACATTTTATTCCACCTTGTCTCCTCCATCTTTCCGCTTTGTGGCCTAGAAATCGACCTCAGAGCGCCAGAGCGAGGATGCGTCCGCTTGCTGAAGGAGATATGAGTCAGGATTAAACTTTTGTAGAAGTCTTTTTGGCCACCTGTGTCGTATAAAAGAGGTCTGACAGTGGAAAGGTTATGCAGCCGTGTCGCTCCGAAGCAAAGATGTCTTATACCGGTTTCCTTGTGTCTCTGCCTCGCCTCCTCTGCTCACATCTCAGGGGGGAGAGACGTGAGGAAAGGAGGCGAGGAAAGGAATCAAGGATGTACGAACTGAGAACTGATTGCAGTCTGTGCTGCGTCATTCTGCCACCTGATGGCGCCAAAGTGAAGCTTTTTTTCAAATCTTACACTGAAAATCTCTGATTGAATCCAGAATTCATGTTTTGTGTGTCAGCAGAAAACTGTAAAGAATGTTATTTTGCTTTTCATTTGCTTTTTTAAGGGTAAAGTCTTACTTTTTGTGTTGCACAGTGAAAACTGAAATCCCTGATCTCCAAAATCTAAAGTAAGAAAATCAAGTTTGCAATTACCTCGACTACAAAAAATCTTTTTAATTTATGAACCAGCTGTGAAACTGATGCAAAGCACACAGTATCCAGTACACGGTTTATATTTTGAGCTTACTTTAGGGTATTCTACTTCTGCCTGATAGTATAGTTGGATTATTATATTTTTAACTGACCTAACCCTAACCTTTTAACCTGATATAAATATAGATTAATTATTGGCACTTCTGGTGGATGGCATAGAGTCAACCTTAAAGTTAACCTATGCTAAATTCAGATGCTCAAAACTTTTTTTTATATATAATAGTCTGTAGATATCCAAGGATACTGCAGTAGGACACAATAAAACACACATATTTAAGCAATAAACACACAAAACATCATTTCATCACATTACATAACATAACATTGTATATGAGTATAAATGTTTGGACCTAATCGATCAATAATGGAACAATTTAAAAAGAATAAGTCAGCAAACATGATGAGAGAGCAGTTTTATAAAAGATATAATCATCTGTATAATAACAACCCACAATAACAATAAATAACAAGACATCAAAAGTCCACTTCAACGCACCTTTAACGCACCTTTATCACGTGACTTCCCCACGCCGGCCTACCATTGGCTGCTCCCGCACACCCGAGGAGTTAATTGGGGTCACCGTCAATCTTCAGGAAGTTGATTGGCGTGTCCAAAAATGTCCGGTGCTCAGGTGAGGCAGTTAATCGCGCCCTCGGCAGCGCGGAGGATGGTCGCCAACCGAGGCCTCGTCGGTGGAGCTCGCTAGCACCAGAAGCTTTCTCTTTCTTTTATCACAAACATGAGGGCGACCCGCTCCACACACACCGGCTTACTGCGTGTCTGCCTCCTGTCCTCTTTTATCTACCTGTTCTGCTCCACCTGCACCGGAGTGGCGTCCGGCCGGGAAGTGGCCTCCCACCGGCCCGCGTTGACGCAGCGCAGCCGCCGGAGCCACCCGAGCGCACGGCACAAAGGCGCGCACCACCGCCGATGACGGACGCGCAGAAAGCGGACCAGAACCTGCAGTTCATGTTGAGTTTGTACCGGAGCGCAGCCGAGCCGGACGGCAGGCCCAAGCAGCACCGAAAGTTCGGCTCCAACACGGTCCGTCTGCTGAGGCCGTCGGCGTCCTCGGTGCACTACCTGCCGGCGTCAGGAGGTAAAATGTGCTCATTGTGAAGATGTTTTTGGGGGTTAATGTTGCATTTTAAGTGATTTATACACTGTTGGGTTGTTTTAAAATACAGAAATACAACATATTCTATCAGATCGTCGTGTGTTTGTGGAGTTGTTGTCTGTGAGAAACACATTTCTCTAGAAAAACAGAACTTTTTAGGAGCAAAACAACCTGTTTTCAGCTTTGGGTTGTTTTGCTGCTAATTCAAGACGGTTTTTAAAATAGTTGATTTATCTGGAGGAGTGAGAGACTTTTCTCACTTGATCCTTCAGTTAATCCGAACAATACTCACATTCAGAACCACCACATTTGGAGACACATGGTACACAGCAAGGGGTTGAATAATTTTATTTTGGAAAGTAAGTAAAAGCTGTCAGACAAATGTAGTGAAAGTTGCTTCAAATGGAAATATTCCAACTCTCTGATCACCTTCCAGCTCTATATTATGTCAGTGTTACTGGATTTAACAAACAAATACCCAGATTTTAGTTTTTAAATAGACAAATGACTTTAAATCTATTTATAATACAGAATATCTTTTTGTTTTTGCTGTATTGTTTTAATTTTACAATCAGATTTGGACCCAGTTTTCCTTTGGGAACTGAGGGAACAGGGATAATTAATAAGCTTTTATTGCTATGAGTGGCATTGTTGCTTCTGTTTATCAATCTGATTCTTTATTGATTCATGAAAAGTAAGCCTTAACTGCGCCTTTATCTCTAAATCTGTGTAGAAACAGCGAACTATAGCAAGTCTGTCTGGATCAAATGAGACAATATTTGTTTTTTAGCATTTGTTTTACTTCATGTTTACTTAATCAAAGATAAAATCTACTAAGATTGTTCCCTATGAGGAAGTAAGTAAGTAAGTAAGTAAAAGTGATTGTGTTGTAAGTAAAACAATCACATATTTAAAGTTTTATTACTAATATAGGTCAAGCTCCAACAACAGTGGATCCTACATTTCCCATAGTGCAACTTGATAGTGTCACTTTGCCCGGTAAACCCTCACGTCTCTCTCGTTTCTCCTTCAGACCACCTCTACAGCTTCACAGTCCAGTACAACCTCGACACTCTTCCCTCGGAGCAGCTGATCAGAGCCTCGTTCATCCACCTCCGCTCTTCGTCCTCTCCCTCCTCCTACTCCTCCTCTTCGTCCTCGTCTTCCGCCGCAACCGCTAGCACCAACCAGGCCCCCGAGCCGCCCCGCTGCAGGGCTCAGATCACCTCGCTGGGCAAAGAGAGCCTGGTCACCCTGGAGCCCCACGAGCGGTGGACAGAGACGGACATCACTGCACACGTCCAGCAGGGGAAGAACCAGGGCGCGGGGGGACACTTGACCCTCACCGCCCAGTACTGGTGCACCGAGCCTGGGCAAGCCGAAGAGGACGACGGCGGCCCCTCTTGGTGGTGGGCTCTACTTTACGGGATAAAAAGATGGCGAGGCGAACCTCATCTGGAAGTCCCGTCTCTTCTTTTGTACCTGGAGGAGGAGAGGGAGGTGAAGGACTGGATGGGGGACTTGCTGGGGGCCGAAGGGGAAGACATCATGAGGCGAATAGAGCAGTGGCATCCCTTGGAGCGCCGCCGCCGCTCTAAAGACGTTACAAGCTCAGACCCCAAAGATTCTTCGCTGGACGTTCTGAAAAACGCCCCGACTTCCTCCTCCTCCTCCTCCTTCTCCAGCTCGCCCTCGGCCTCCATCATCTCCGACATCCCCAACTACAAACGCAAAACCGGCGTGCCCAAGAACCGCTGCAAGCTCCACTCGTTCCGCCTCTCCTTCGACGAGCTCGGCTGGGGTCACTACTTCATCGCGCCGCCGGTGTACAACCCGCGGTTCTGCCAGGGCAACTGCCCGCGGGTGCTCCACTACGGCTACCACTCCCCCAACCACGCCATCATCCAGACGGTCATCAACGACCTGGGCATCGGGGACGTTCCCCCTCCGTCCTGCGTGCCGTACAAGTACATGCCCATGAGCGTGCTGGTGGTGCACAAGAAGAAGGTGGAGTACAGGGAGCTGGAGGACATGGTGGCCGAGTCGTGCACGTGTCGCTGAAGAAAACACGCTAGAAGAAAAGAGACTTTAAAAATAAAAAAGGAGGGCAGATTTGATGGGTCATTTGTTTGATCTACAGCTCGGCAGCTAACCACAACGAGCTCGAGACTGGGAGGAGGAAGTTCTTGTGGTTTCAGGTCTTCGCTGTTCCTGTTAAAGCACTTTAAAGAAAGGCAGCTACTGGATGAGACTGTGGCCTGTGATGAACTATATAAGGTTGTGGAGGCGAGAGGGTGTCTATTTACTGATGTATTTATATTATATATATGTATGATATATATATATATTGGAATAATTATTATTCTGTGAGCTCTTTAAAAGCACTGTGCGGATTGGTGAGTGTGCAATATTCATGGTCACTAATGTTTTTCCTCCTGAGATCAAAGCTGGTACATTTTTGGAATCATTTTAAGCCACTTTGACTAACTTAACTTCACTTTAAGTGGTAATTTAACTCAACTTAAACCCAAACATCTGGGGTAACTTAACAATATCTCATCAACTTCTACACTAACTAAACATCAGGGGTAATTTTTTTAAGAAAAGCTGCTCTAACTTGAGGAGTTAACCACTGGTTTGTTTGTACTCACACATGTAGAATCCATCTCCACTATTTGACCTCAAACCTCAGACATTTAATGAATATTTTCTTTCTGTGTGTTGTTTTTGTTCTGTATCATCATTATTTTGTCTTTTTTAAAAACCTGATCTGTGTTTCACATCAGGGCAGCAAAAAATAAAATAAAGTAGTGTATTAAAACCAAAAAAAAGAAGAAAATCTGGATAATGTGTGTTTGAGGCCATATTCCTCCGAGTAAGAAGAAAAGTATTTTTAAAGGACGAGGGGGTCGAACCGTGTTGGATGTTAACTGCAAAGGGCTTGTGACGTCCCATTTTTGCTGTTTAGTCTAAACTTTTTGCATTTTGTACATATTTATAATGCGAAGTAAAATAATGGAGGTGCTGCTACTGTTGTGTCTTTAAAAAACAAATAATTAAAAAATCACAATGAAGCATTAGGAAGGATGTTAAAAAAAACTAACATTAGTGTTGTAGTGGCAAGGAATGCAATTTTTATTACGAGTGAAAATTAATAATAAAATAAAATGCGTGTTTTCTAAAAAAAACCTATTTATTGTCTTTTTTGATGTTGAAAAATGGATTTTGTTTTTAAAACTACTCTCAAGATCAAGATTTAACTTCCAGTGTGTGACATTTAGGAGGATCTATTGGCAGAAATGGAAATAAAATATTCATAGGTATGTTTTTATTAGTGATACAGAGTCTGCCATGTTTTCTACAGTAGCCCAGAATGGACGTTTCGTGGCCGCCGTAGTTTCTCCTACAAGCTTGGAACGGGAGGGTGAAGTGAGGGTGTTGTAATCTGCAACTACACCATTATTTAAATGTACGTATGGTTTTACAGTGTGCCTCAAATCTGCTCTGATTTATTTAGTTTTACTGACATCAGGTAAATTCTTTTAAAAAAGTAAATTAATTAAAAAGTTGTGGTGTGGTGTATTAATGTTCATGTCAGGAATTTACACTGTAAAACTCCTGTAAGATGTTCAACAAGAATTCCTTTATTTTTTTAACTCTATTGAGTCCTATAATAAAATAAGTTTAGTTTATTTGCGCAGAATAACACAACATAAACATATTACATTAAAGGGTTAAACAAAGGATTGTGCTGGTGAGACTAAAAAGGCAAACTGGGTTTATAAAGACACCAAAAAATGATAAATCAGTCGGATAAAATTTGATTTTTATCAATTAAATACAGAAAAACAGCAGGAAATAGAAATATTCTACTTTTATGCACTAAAAATAAAATAAACTTGAGATGTATATATAGTTTAGCACTAAAAACGAGGATAAAGAAAGTCACAATAGTAGTTTAACTCATCATATGAACTAAAGTTAAAGTTTTAACCATCGAATTGTAAAATTCCAGCAGGTGGCGTTCTTCACTAAGAACAGAAGCTGCATAAAGTTTCCCACAATCAGACATAAATCCTGAATCCACCTATAGAACCAGGTTTGTTTTCCTTTACTAGTTTAAACTACCTTTGTTTGCCTCTTCTTTCCCCTTGACCTCAGTGTCAGGAGAAACCTTTGAGGAAGGAAAAAGGTCACAAAGTGGACACAAACAGTCGATCATACGTATGTAGATAACTGAGGTTGTTTCCAGCAGCAAGGAGGTTAAATATATAAGTCCTTGACACAGATTTCATTGTCCATGGACTACTCTTCACCCCTGTATTTTTTTTTGCCTTTTTGTGCTCACAGGAGTGTAATAAATACAAAAAATGAAGAAATGATGAGGAAACAAATGTAAAGAATGAGTTTTGTGAGGTTAAAATGTAAAAGTACAAGCCTGAAACTCTACAGTACAACCTGCCGCCCTTCGTTTTCCTGCAAAAGTTCATATAAATACATATAAATATTCAAAAAGCAATAAACTAATTATTTAATCACTAATATATAAAGCCAGTTTCCATTTCCTAAAGCAAATGTCTGAGCATACCAATCACCAGCTAATACATCCAGTAGAGGTTAAACTTAAAGCTCACATGGTAACATTTCTCATATTTACACAACACAAAAGTCACCTGAAGGCAACATGATGTTAATGTCATTTAAAAGGGAGAATATGTACTAAACTACTGCTTGCAGAGGGGAGAAAGTGGCGTGATCAAATAATTCCCTTAAAATAGTGCAGTCGGAGTTCGTTATTGAAACAGTTTGATACTGATGCCTCAATACGATCTAAATACCATCAGCCAGAAGACTGTTTTATGTTTTTATTCTTAATATCTGCCACCGGGAGTCGGATTCCCCTTGAAATCAATGACACGAGGCAGTAGATGCACTACCGCTGTTGTCCACAGGGGGCGCCAGAATCAACACAGCAAGAAATATCCTTGTTGCTGCTTTAACTCTTGACTCATTATAGAGGTTTCTGTTTATTTATAAAGCCCTTAAAGGTCCAGTGTTTAACATTTAGGAGGATTTATTGGCAAAAATGGAATAAACATTTTTAATTATACAGTCTACATTTGGGAAATCTGCTTTTACAACACGTTACAATTTAAGCACCTAAAGGTCTATTTAAAACCATAATAACAAACCAGTTTGCTCCTGAATGTAACTGCTTTTAACTGCTGTTGTTTCTTTCTGTATAGTTGTACTCTTGAGATTTAAATAAATGGTTAAATGAATGAATGAAATTTAACAGATGGACGTTTGGTACGAGACGGCTACTGTAAGTGGGTCAGAGAACATGAAAAATGGACAACAATAAATAAACATTTGCAAGAATTTACAAATAAATACACTAGAAACAATCAAATCTGAAACATCCATAAATAAAAGTGGACAGAAAGAAACTAAAATGAACACCAGGGAGAAAAATAACATAAAAAAACGATGACTAAAGCCTAAAAACTAAGGCTATAACATTACTAACAAATGATTCATGCCTTGGTTTGTGTTTATCGACCTCAACGTGGGTTGTGCAGAAACACACACACACACAAAGTACACACACACAAAGTACACACAAAGAAGCAGGTCATGATAAGCTGCAACCTATAAATAAACCTTTTTTTCAACTAATGTGCCTAAATTTTGACTTAAAGTTGCCACAAACAAGTTGAATTTGATCATATTTAGCATGTAGACTATGTTGTTGTCCTACTGCACGTGCATGGTGAGGTTAAACAGTACTGACACCCATATAAAGTATGTCATTCTCTTGCTGTGAGCTACATATTACCTGTTTATTCTCCTACCTGTTGAGTGTAACAGCACTAATGTATCATCAAAACAAACAATAGAGCCGTAAACCTGTTTTCCTTCACATATATTGCATCAAGCAGCTATTTGACGAGTTTACAGGAAATATGTTTTACTTCCCTGAGTTGCAATTTGACCTTGAATGAGTCTTTATAAGGTTGCTGATAAATGACAGCGTGACTTAGATGGTGATTATTGACACGTGCAGAGATTTCTGGGGTTTCTTTTTCAAAATAAAGTCAACACACTCTTGGACTTTTGGCTTGTTTTGGCTACTGAATGGAAAAAAACATCACAGGTGTTTGCTGTAGAGATGTCGAGCAGTAATATTGTTCGATTTTATTCTTTCTGACTTCTAAAGTAATGCCTATAAGTCATTTTTTATAGAGATGCAAAGATGTTTTCATTAAAAATGCATGAATTCATCTGAACTGCAGCTTGTTTTAGTGTTTAAAATGATAAAATAACAATTTACTGAACAGAAAATGGTTCAGATCGGGCGAAAAAAGGCAGAAAATAAGAAGTTACCTCACTTGCGTTGCGGTAAAAGTGTATTTTATGAGGAGAAACAAATGTTTAATTCAGGCACAGTCGTGTATTTTTTTGCCTGAGGATCTGCAGTGCTCATGTGTTACGGTAACATTTGTTTCTAGAGTGACTGGAAATCCTCTGTTTTACAGGACCTCACTGTCTGTCTCCTCCAGGGATTTCATGTGTGTCTGGTTTCGTCCTTCTCAACCTAATCTCCTGTGACAGATGTTCCCAAATAACACACACAGACACACACACACTTTAGCAAGAGCGTTTCCCATCACACAGGGACGAGTCACACGAGGAAGAGGTGATCTGTGGCTAATTGTATACAACTGAAGTGGCCTTAAAGGTCGGTTGCTGCAGGAACTACTGAGTTCTATTACTGGATGTTGTGTGGAGAGAAAGTGTGTTAAGAAATGAGTCATTTATAGTCACACACACACACTAATGTTTGCCTTTACTGTATGCTGTGTGTCAGAGTTTGTGTTCTGTACGCTTCCTTTGACAAAAAGCAAATGGGATTTCTGCTTTAGATTTTGGACAATGCACCTTAACCAACACTGCAGTTTATATAACACTTTAATGTAAATGTGCAAGAGTTTTCATTCGTAGTCCCTGGGCAGGTTATAATAAAATGTGTCCAATATCATCAGTACAGTACTTCAAGAACAATACAGTATAATATTATATATAAATGCATTACAAAAGTGACTCATGAATGCTCGATTGGTTTACCTTAAGCCACATCTTAAGTTTATGTTTAAACGTTAAGTAATTAGTGCACTCTCAGTTCGGTAGGTCGATTTTTGAAGCGTAAATGAGATCGCCACAAGTAAAAAACTAATGTTTCAGATAAACTACACCACGGTTGCATAACTTTAACGTCAGCACCGCTAAACATCCAACTTGTAATCAAATCAATGCAAATAAAATCTACAAGTCGGAAAGTCTGAGTGAGAATAAGAGCTCGAACATAAACTGTAAAGCTGTAAAGGTGGACTAGAGAGCAGATAAGTGTCAGTGTTTAATGTCACAGACAACCTCTGTGGTTAGCAACCGTCTTTTTTAAGACGCTTAAAAGCTTCAAGATTCACCGGTGGAGTACCGATGTATCTTACATTATAGAACAAAATGTGACAAACAAAACAAAACTCAAGCTTGTGTTCATTTCAGACCTCAAAACTCCCCACTGACCTCATTGCCTAATGCTCATTTCTTAATGAAAATACATGTTTTTTTATTCTTCTACAGCACATTATAAAAGATTATTATATTATTTCTCACTGTTATAAGTGTTTTATATCTCTGCAAAAATCCCAATAGAAAAAGGTGTTAAAAAAACTGGTGAGGTGAGGGAACCCGGACGTGCTAAAATGCTAACTCATTTCCAGATTTAAGCTTAGTATTAAAATACTTAAAAGAAAACTTAAAAGAAAGCAGCAAATCCTCATAATTTCTGTAATATATTTTTTAATTGACTCATTTTCTGTTGTTAACTAACTAATTAACTAATCAATAAACTACACGTTTCAGTGCTACATGCACGTTTATTGGTCGCTAACGTACATTTAACGTGACATTTAAAATGCAGAAAGATTATAGGACGAAATACTGTCACTGCACTCTCGGATAAACTTTACCTTATAGGTGAAATATTTTATGAGGAAGGAAACGCACTCGACACAGCAGCCCTCTCAATAAGCTATAAGGTTCCTGGTATTGAACTAGACATTCCTGCTCTATTCTAAATGACTTCAGATTAGTTTTTAAGAGAGAGAGAGATAAGAGATATGTGCTGCTAGAGGGATCATTGGCTTTGATTCAAGGCCTGGCCACATTTATAGGACTTTCTGGGTAACCCATTTCTGTTAAATCCACCCCGTCCTGCATGCGGCCTATAAACTGGTCGGATGAGGTCATGTCTGCAGCCTTCCTTCGATCCGTTTGTCCAAGAGAAACTATTCCCTCTTACTTCAGAGCAATCAAAGTTCAAAGTCCAGACTGGATGGTCGGAGGGGTGATTTTTTTTTTGCTTTTAGGTCGTGGACTGACTGTGCTTTCGTTCCGCAAAGCCTGAACCTTCAGCTCTGAGAGTTTTTCCTCACCTTCATTATGCAAAGTATAAAGAGTGAAGAGAGAAAGAATTCGCTGCAGCTGGAAAGTAGAGTTCAATGGCAGTGCAGGTAAAAGTCCACTGTCGTCTAATAAAGGTGATCAAAGTTAAACATTTAGCTGTGAGCGTGAAGGGCAGATTCAGTCATTAAAGAAACTGTATGTGGAGATTTAAAGAGTTTAAAGGGAGCCAAAGTAGTGAGTTTTTACTTCTAGCCGTCTTAACTTCTTACACAAATACTTGTATCATTGCACGCCTTCTTAAATGTTAAGACCAGTGCACATCACGCACGACAGACAAAACTATTTGAAGTTGCAGTTAGTTTTGCACAGAAACAACCGGTCCTTCAGAGAAACCGAGTACATTTTAGAGCCTGTACTGCATTAACTAACTAATTAATTAAGTAACTGATAAAGTACAGGAAAAGTCACAGGAAGTGGAGTTTTAAATCCATTGTCATGCATGCATGCTAAACTAGGGGCAGATCCAGTCATTAGAGAAACTGTATGTGGAGATTTAAAGAGGTTGGAAGGAGCCAAAGTAGTGAGTTTTTAC